ATTCAGACGCTGTCGCCTCGACAGACCTGGTTTTCACCAAGCTTGGTGGTGTTTCATTCTTCACCTGAGGACGGCTGCTTGCGTTGTGGCCGAAACGTCGTGAGAATTATTTTATTATGTTTTATTTTTATTATTTTATTATTTCCCTTCTACGTGACTTTACCGAAAGAACCAAGAAGATGAATCCCTGCAGTCGCGAAAGCTTTAAATCGAGATTCTCAGAAGGTTCATCCGATCGGAGCAAGCAAAAACAAACGTTCGCATGAAGTTATGTTGATAATCGGTGAACCCGCGCCCCCCAATCAAAACCCGGCTACAGTGCTCTGAGCATTGTACAAAACTTGGGAATGCCCACCAGCAGGGGAAGGGGGGGAAATATATAATGATAAAAATATAACAAGTAAACCCGTAAAAACAAAGTTTTTCACTATAAATCCTTTATATGCGTGGCGGCTAGAGTCTTCTCGTCCTCTGGCTTGAGATGGCTGCCACCTATGGGTCAGATGATTGTCTGCCAGTATTAAGCAATTGGTAATTAAATATTTAATTTGTTTTCCCTAAACAATGTAAAATTTTTGAATTTTTTGAACATTAATTGTCTCACACAACGAGTCTGTGTGCAAAATGTCAGCTCGATTGGATCACGGGAAGTGGGTTAAAAAACGACCGAAAGATTTGCACGGTCGTAAGCAAGCAAGCACGCAAGCACGCAAGCAAGCAAGCGAACTTAATATAAAGGATTTAAAAATGATCGAAGGCATGCAAACCGCACGGTCTCTGCCTCTCATTCCGACCAAGTCCCGTCTTCCTTACTGCTAATGAAATACTTCTGAAGACAAACGGCGCCCGTAAACCGTACCAGAATCCGTGCGTGCGCAAATCCACAATATCTAGTACTCGGATTGTAAATGTTGTGGCTTTGCTCTCCAACACGCCGGTGCGCTGTGCAAGTAACGTGACAAACCTTACTAATTGGCTGTGTCGGGTGGAGGCGGGTTTAAGGACACATTTGTATTTACACGATCTAACCCAAAAAAACGAAATTCAAAAGAACCCCCCTCCTCCCCCCATTCGCTCTTCGCTCCGTTGCTTCCGTGACATCGTCAATTTGTACACGGAAACAACTCGGAGGCTCTGCCGACACGTGCCATTCCCTTCTTACGTCAAAGCCCCGTAACCTGTCCAATGCAGGACCCCCCCCCCCTCCCCACTGCTACAATCCTGATTTCATTTCAACAATCGCCAACTGTGGGTCCGTGGATTAAAAAAAAAAATTGGGGCAGACAACACAACAACACTGCGTGCCAACGATTCCACCAAAATTCCCCACGCCGATGTAATTAAGAGTGACGGAAATCAATCCCTAATAAGTATAACCCGTAAAAACAAAGTTTTTCACTATAAATCCTTTATATGCGTGGCGGCTAGAGTCCTCTCGTCCTCTGGCTTGAGATGGCTGCACCCTATGGGTCAGATGATTGCATGGAACCATTAAACAATTGGTAATTAAATATAATATTTTTGTCCTAAAAAGTGTAAAATTTTGAAAAAAAATTTTCACGAACATTAATTGTCACGCACAACGAGTCTGTGTGCAAAATGTCAGCTCGATTGGATCACGGGAAGTGGGTTAAAAAACGACCGAAAGATTTGCACGGTCCTAAGCAAGCAAGCAAGCGAACTTAATATAAAGGATTTTAAAAAGGGAATTATCGCCGCGCGGCAAAGCTCGCAATGCCTGCAATGGTCGTCATCGTGAAAACCGCGATCGATCCACTGCTGGATGAAGGCGAGCGCGTCGGTCGCCGTCTCTCGCCGTACGACGACGCACGACACAACGATCCGCCTAGTCCCCCTCACCCCAAAATCAGTCTCTTACATCGCGATATCGCGATGACGCGACAACACGTCACAACACGTCACAACACGCAACAACACGCAACAACACGCAACAACGCGCTTATGCGCGCACGATTTTATCGGAGCGTTTCAACGTGAATGGATAACAAAAAATTACCGCCCTCCCCCGTGGCCTCTCGATCCATCAATCAGGATTCACTCAAGCCCCCCGGTAAGAGGCAACTCAGCACGAGCGCATTATTGCAAAAAGGAAATCCGAGTCAAATACAGGCGTTGCCCCCCCCCCCCACCCCTGCCCCCCACCCCACCGCTTTCGCAATGTCCCAACGAGTTCCTGGATACCGTGCCTCCGTGATTCGGACCCCCGTTTTCCCGCAGAGAATAGAAACGGTAAAGACACATCACTCGCCTACGTGTTTCTTCTCACGTTTTAGCAGCCGCAATTTAAACCGAAACTGTTTTCAATTTCACCAGGTAAGGAAGGCACCACTGAGCTATGCAGAGCTCATTTTTGAGAAACGACCTGGCACACATATCGATAGTTCAACGAAACGTGCTTATCATCACGTGGACATTCATAGCAGCCAAATGCACTAAACGCGTGACGTTTACTCTAAATGTGGTGGGGGAAGAACCGGAGGACCCGGAGTAAAATCCACGCTACTGACAGGAAGAGAGGAGAGACACGCAAACTCCAAATATACAACAGGCATCGTCAGGGTGGGGATCGAACCCACGACCTCCTAAATACTCGGTGAGGCAGTTAACATCTCCTAGCCACCGTGATGATGATGACAGAGACACGGAAACTCCAAATATACAGCAGGCAAAAGGGTCGGGATCGAACCCACGCCCTCCTGCATACCAGGCGAGGTAGTTGACATCTCCTAGCCACCGTGATGATGATGAGAGTGAGACACGCAAACTCCAAATATACAACAGGCATCGTCAGGGTGGGGATCGAACCCACGACCTCCTGCATACCAGGCGAGGTAGTTGACATCTCTGAGCCACCGTGATGATGATGAGAGTGAGACACGCAAACTCCAAATATACAGCAGGCGTCAGGGTCGGGATCGAACCCACGTCCCTCCTGCATACTCGGCGAGGCAGTTAACATCTCCTAGGAACCATGATGATGATGACAGAGACACGCAAACTCCAAATATACAGCAGCAGGCATCAGGGTCAGGATCGAACCCACGCCCTACTGCATACCAGGCGAGGTAGTTAACATCTCATAGCCACCGTGATGATGATGATGATGATGAGAGAGACACGCAAACTCCAAATATACAGCAGCAGGCGTCAGGGTCGGGATCGAACCCACGACCCCTGGTGGTCTCAGATCCAATTACTAGCCAGGCTCAAAAATCCTTGCTTGGCTTCTGAGATCAGATGGGATCGGGGGAAGTGTTCAGGATGAATTGGGGTCAGTTGGCAGACGTGCTGCCGGTGAATCTGATGAGAGCTGACAGCCTCGGGCACAACAAAAAGATGTATAAAATTCAAGAAACTCAATTATTGACTTCGGAAATACGGACAGCCATGAATGAATGATTGCATGCATTGGACACATGCGTGAATGATACGCTGGCCAGCGGACAGACATATAGGCTGCATGGAAAGGCAGGGAACCGGGCAAACATACTGTACGTGGAGCTATTTCAGCCCTGTATCCACGCGTTTCCACGAGGGATACAAAGGTGGCCAGGCGTGGTGGTGGCCACAAAAATCCCCCATATAGCGTTTCATCGACTGTTGGGGACAGCGTTGTTTGAGCACAGCACCTATGAAGGCCAACACAGCACACCTTTGTCGCCCTAGTGGCGATGTTAACAGACCGCACCAAGTACTCAACGAGAGTCCCATGATCGGTTCAGATAACCGTCACTGGTGGTGTTGGCCATGAGCGGGAATCGAACTCGGGTCGCCCGGTTCGCTAACCGCTGCGCCATCGCTCCCTGCCCGGTGCCCACCCCGAGACAGACAGAGACCGACCGAGGGGCAAATCAATTGTATCGCGGCACTCTTTGCCGTATACTCGGAGAGCCTTACCAACGTTCGTGGCATTTATTTGCGCGTCCGGCCAAAACGCGTCTGAGTTGTGGCCTAGGTGGATCAGAGGTGACACCGGGCCTACCCCCTATCGCTCAACAGAAGTGCTATCCCGGCCGCCCTCTTACACTGGTCAACAAAAAAAACATTTTTTTCTGGCCTGGACTTTTGCAGCTGTTCTAGACTAATTTCAGGGTGCCGATTCCACATCTGATCTCAGATTTGCTCTGTCACATCTAATTTTTATGCTATCGGCATACCCCATTTTCATTGGTGTTACCCGAAATTAACTCTGTCACTTATGATTGCAAGTTGTTGCGAGTCAGTGACTGCTTTAGTGTTAAAATATGGTGCTGTATTTTTAGGATAGTGTGTTTATAATATCATTCTATGTAGATATCCACATTTATTTAATATTTTTCTTGAGCAGTTTTTATTGAAAATGCAATATTTGATATCTCAAAAACCTGATGTGATGGACAAAAACTGATGCCAGATTTGGAATCGGCACCCCAAAATTACCTTAAAAACCGTTGGAATACCTTATGCCAGAAAAAGTGTGTTGACCAGTGTTATTATTACACGCCGGGGGCTCCTGAACCACTGGCGTTGGCCAGAAACAAATCTCGGGTTTTGCCCGCAACGATGTGCGAGGAGGGGTTGGCGGGGGTGGGGCAGAGGTCGCAAACGGGTTTTGATTCCTTACCCGTACCCGGCCGCACCAGGGTCGCAAACGGGTACCCGTACCCGGCCGGGTACGGGTAGCCGGGTATCGGGTAGGGTATGGGTATCGGGTACCCGGTTGCGACCTCTGGGATGAAGCCATGTTGCAGGCGCGGGTGGGTTGATTCTAGGAACTTGAATTGTGAGAAGAGACAAGACGTTGGGAAATGAGTGACAAACGGTTACTCACCAGTGACTCACAGTCTACCCGTACCCGTACCCGGCCACAACCAGGGTCGCAAACGGCTACCCGTACCCGCACCCGGCCGGGTACGGGTAGCCGGGTATCGGGTAGGGTACGGGTATCGGGTACCCGGTTGCGACCTCTGGTGCGGGGCGGGGCGAGCGGCGAGACTTACCGAGAGGATCTGATCGCCTCGCCGCAGCTCCCCGCTGAGGTCCGCCGGGCCGCCGGCGAGGATGAAGGAGACAAAGATTCCCTCCCCGTCCTCGCCCCCGACGATGTTGAAGCCGAGCCCCGAGGAGGCCTTGTGCAGGACCACTCGCCGCGCTTCCCTGCACACGCACGGACCAAAGGCGTCACATCCACCGCCGCCAACAGACTGGTTTGGGGGGGTGGGGGGGCAAAGCGCCGTTAGCGACCAGCGCCCACCAAGGCCGGCGCCGTGGCAAGCCGCCACCGCTCGGGGCGTGGAATCTTCCGCGTGGCGCTGCGGCGGTGGTGCCGCAAGCAAATGTTGTTGTTGTTGTTTGACTTGCATCCCACTGGGATTTTTGCACACAGCGTTGGTGTACGGTGTTATTTTCTGTAATATTTTGCTGTCTTTTCTTGGATGTTCTGTTTGCACTCAGTCACATAGTCACTTTAAGATGTTTAGTGTTCGTGTTTTTGTTTTTTGTTTGTTGCGCTTGCACCCGATTCAAGAGCCGAATGGCTCACAGGGCTACATCTAATAAATGAACTTGAACTTGAAATGTGGAAATTCCATGGCAATGTGGAATGTCCACCCCCTCCCCGTGGGGGTCGTAGCCGTGAGGGGGCACGTGAGCGGCCACTGATGCACACTTACCGCACGCTCCAACGGGTTTGGTTTTTCACGGCGAACGCTTTATCTTTGTCACGTGACTCCCGCCCCCCCCCGCCCGACCCCCACAACATCCAACCCACGCGGCTCTAACCACTTGGTCTAATTTCACCTGAGCACGGCTGCTTGCGTTGTGGCCGAAACGTCGTGAGAATAATTGTATTATGTTTTATTTTTATTATTTTATTACTTCCCTTCTACGTGACTTTACCGAAAGAACCAAGAAGATGAATCCCTGCAGTCACGAAAGCTTTACATCGAAATCTAATTACACTGGTCAACACACTTTTTCTGGCATAAGGTATTCCAACGGTTTTAAGGTAATTTTGGGGTGCCGATTCCAAATCTGGCATCAGGTCTTAAATAGAGCAGCAGCAGCAGCAGGGTGACGTCATCATTTAATTAAGTTAAATCTGGTGCAGTGATTCGAGGCAAGGAGGGGGAGGGTATGGTAATTATATAGATTGGTAATCATTCAATTGTTATTCATTGGTATTTGTTTCCTTTATATGTAATTGTATTTATTTAATAATACGCTTCCAGGCCGCACTTACCTCGAATCACTGCACCAGATTGAATTGAATTAAATGATGACGTCACCCTGATGCTGCTGCTCTATTTAAGACCGGAAGCAACAGGAGAGCTTCACCATTCTCGCCCGATGAGGCTGATTGTAGTTATCAGCGAAACGTCGTACTAAAATTTTAAAATGCTGTTGATTCTCTCTTCAACACACCGGTGGGCTAAAGAAGTGAATTTATTTTGTCCTTTGAAAAACGTGACACATTTTTTACTGTTTGGCCGTGTCGGGTGGTGGAGGGTTACGACACATTTCTAAATAACGCGATCTGACCCAAAAACCCATATTATGAATAATATTGGTCGCGAAAGTCTACGTGTTAAATTGATTTATTTAAAACTGTGTGATGTTGCGTTTAATTCGTTGACCTTCCGCTCCCCTCGCACCTCCGATTGGCGCGGTGATCTACGTATGGTGCGAAAGAAGTTCAACGCACAAACACACACGTATACATTCAAACGCTACCCAAATGAGGACACATTTCGAGACTCGCACAAAACAAACCTACGGCTCTCCGCCGTCTTGTCCGATTGTACAACGCGCGATGTCCGTCCGGCGTGACGTGGTCACTTCAAAGCCCAGAAGAAGCTATCCACCCCCCCACACCCGCCCCAAGGCAAGTGCAGCGAAACGTCGGACATCGTGCCGAAACCAAAAAACGGGTCGGAGGGCTGGCGCGGCGCAAACCGCGAAAATCTCACGCGCAGTCGTAAACTAAAACTATTTTTTAAAATATTTTTTTTTACTGAGAATAAAACACGTTGTATTATACCTGCAAGAGGAGGTCTTAAAGTGGCCGGTTCCGACACACCGCGACCCGGTCTGGGGCGGACAATTCTTTCCGTTCATCCACAGCATCGCCGACGATACGTTTACTGCGAACATCGCGAAGCGCGCACGCACGCCCCGCAATTCGGCGGCGCCCCTTGACCCGGCTCGTCACCGACTTTGCCAAACTTGATTTTTCTCTTCCCGCAGGGCACCCGGACGAAAAGTGTCCGCCGCAAGCCTCAGCGCCACCCCTCCGGCCACTCGGCCCATTCTGCCGACGGCGTCACAAATAGCTCACGATAAGCGCGCTCCCTTCCACTCATCAGAACGCCCACCGCCTCCCCTACCGCCTCCCTCTCTCTCTCCCTACCCCTCAACTCCATCCTGACCTCTCTCCCTCCCTGCCTCCCTCCATGCCTGCCTCCCTCCCTCCCTGCCTCCCTCCCTGCCTCCATCCCTGCCTCCCTCCCTGCCTGCCTCCCTGCCTCCCTCCCTCCCTGCCTCCCTCCCTCCCTCCCTGCCTGCCTCCCTGCCTTCATCCCTGCGTCCCTCCCTGCCTCCCTCCCTCCCTGCCTCCCTGCCTCCATCCCTGCCTCCCTGCCTCCATCCCTGCCTCCCTCCCTGCCTCCATCCCTGCCTCCCTCCCTGCCTCCCTCCCTGCCTCCCTCCCTGCCTCCCTGCCTCCCTCCCTCTCTGCCTCCCTGCCTCCCTGCCTCCCTGCCTCCCTGCCTGCCTCCCTGCCTCCCTGCCTCCCTGCCTCCCTCCCTCCCTGCCTGCCTCCCTGCCTCCCTCCCTCCCTCCCTGCCTCCATCCCTGCCTCCCTCCCCCCTGCCTGCCTGCCTCCCTCCCTGCCTCCCTGCCTGCCTCCCTGCCTCCCTCCATCCCTGCCTCCCTCCCTCCCTGCCTGCCTGCCTCCCTCCCTCCCTGCCTCCCTGCCTGCCTCCCTGCCTCCCTCCCTGCATCCCTCCCTGCCTGCCTCCATCCCTGCCTCCCTGCCTCCCTCCCTGCCTCCCTCCCTGCCTCCCTCCCTCCCTGCCTCCCTCCCTCCCTCCCTCCCTCCCTCCCTCCCTCCCTCCCTGCCTCCCTCCCTGCCTCCATCCCTCCCTGCCTCCCTCCCGCTGCACTCTGGGTAACAGAGAGCAGGCTTCCCGTATATCCCAGGCCCCCCCCCCCCCCCCGCGTTGACTGGGACGAAGACCCCGCGCCATCCTCGAACCGGACGAGCGCCGCCCGGTTTCGATGGCGACCGGCGGCTTCGCGTCCGGTGATAACGCGCGCCGAGCCGTCGACGGTCCGTCGGTCGCGAGACGCGCAACTTCACCCCAGCGCCGGCGGGCGCAATTAATCTGGCGAGCACCGTTCATCGATGCGAGAACGCGGCAAGGCAGGTAGGTGGATCAAGTCGAGTTTGCCGCTAATCTGAAAAGTGGCACACACACACACACACCAGACACACACGACGCGCACGCGCGCACACTGGCGCTTTCCGCCGCCCTACTTTGCGCGTCACGCAGCATTAGCGGAGCCGCTGATAACGGACACAATGAACCCCACTCCCCTAACTGCGCCCGTGGTCGGATTAACGCGGGGGGCTTTAAAGGCTGCAGCCTGGGGCCTTAGATATTAAGGAGCAAACCTGCCCCTGCACCGACTCCAAAAAAAATGTTTCTGTAGATTACCAGATGGACTTTTTTCGCCGATGCATTTGAAAGAAAAAATAACTCAAAGCACTGCCCCCATTCAAACGAGCACTCGCTGGTTCTCAGTTGCCGGTTAATGGACTCAGTGATGGAAATTTGATAGATCGTATTTATTTCAGCAGGAAGCGATCAAATCGGCCTGTTAGGCTTCATATTTCATGTGCGTCCAGCGACGGTGACAGATGTCTGCTGCACGGGGCAGATCTTGGTCAGGATCACGGTCGCACAGGGCACGATACAACCGGTGAGTCTTGGTCCGAGCTTCACACGTTACAGGAATCGAGAACCGGTTGAAAATGTAGGACGGCGATGGTGGCGGTGGTGGCGGCGGGGGTAGCGGTGGTGGTGGTGGCGGTGGTGGCGGCATTGGTGGCGGTGGTGGTGGCGATGGCGGTGGTGGTGGCGGTGGCGGTGGTGGCGGCGGCGGCGTGTGCACGCGAGCAGCGAGAATCTCTCGCGAGGGCAACGGGAAATTCACGATTCCCTAAAAAAGACGGTCACTTTCCGAAGGCACGCGACTTAAATTGATGCCCATCAATAGCATCATCATCGATATCCACGGTTTCCCACTCCCCCTCGGCCCCCACCCCCCCTTCCCAAAAAAATTAAGTTCATTTCAATATTTTGTGATTTGTTTTCGTATACTTTACACTGCTATCGTGTTTCTGTACCGTTTGTTGTTGTGACTTTGCCGACCACCGCAAACCGACCTGTGAAGAAAGAGCCTCACAGCTTATCGGATTCCTCCTCGAGTCTAAATTTTTTTTTTTAAATCCTGATTCTGATTCATCGACGTATTTAGTTGGCCGGTAGGGAAGCTGACGGTCAGCAGCCATCAGGGCAAGACACATCCTCCAATGTTCCTCCATGAATCTGGTTTGTCTCTCCAAGTTCTGCGATGCTCTTTGTGGATTATTTTTTTAGCTATTACACGCTTTCTATTAACTCACGCTCTGTCTGTTGTATCCTCAAATCTTGTAACTCAATTTTAACCCACTTCCCAATGTGGTATCGACTGCAAACTTGGTATACTTATGTCATACCGATGCCAACACTATATTCTATCATTAAAACTTTTTAATAAAATATTTTTAAACATTATTTTTTACATGTTATGTTTCCGGCTTGGGTCTAATTGTCCACGCTCAACTGACGTTGGCTGTAATTGGCCACGGTCCCTTACGTTACGGCAAGCTTCGGGGCCACTTCCTGGAGTCGTGGAGTTCTTCCATTACTAGTACATTTCATTAAAGCGTGTTTAATTCTTGTTTTATATTACTTATTTTCCCTACACTTGCTCCGCTGGCCCAGCAGCTGTCTTTGAATATTAAAAATAAAATAAAAATTTCCCAGGTAAGGCCCACTGAGCTATGTAACTCTTTTGTCAGAAGCAGCTTGGCCACAAATGATAGCCTCATC